ACACTCGAGACATTTAAAATTTTATATTTCAATCTTTGGGACACCTGGTCCAGGCATATTTACAGAAATACGTGTGTAGCTCGATTTTTAAATCACGACTGCGGATAAGAGTTATTTAGAAACAACGATGTAACAAGAAAGAAAACTAAAATTCTATCCTCTTGTCATTTTTTAAAGAGAAATTCAAGTATTTCTAGCGTTTTATTGCTTTAGTTCCCAGTTCTAATCCAAGCCCAATTCACTGCCAAGCACTTTGCAAATCTTCTTCCACTTGAAAATTACACAGACTCCGCACTCAAGCGAACTATACTCGTCACACTTCCAAGTACAAACGAGATCATTAACTATTATACTGCTTCAAATTGTTTATTAATTTATGCTTCGTACACGACCAGTCGAAAGTTCAAGACTAGCACAGCTATATACTTGCTCGATTTCCTCGGCTAAAGTGTCTCGAAACAAGACCGCAAGAAATTGAAACGTTCGATCGGAAATAATAATGTAACATTCCTTCGAAACTTTCGGCTGGCAGCGTGCGTTCTTGCAGACGATCGCATGAAACAGTGCGTCATAGTGACAATCGATGAACGATCTTTTACGCACTTGAAACTCTACTACGAAACGTGTAAGTGGGTTTATGGTCGTTACTCACGAGGAGCCTCGTGCTAGCCATGATCCACGACCTGATGCTTTTCTGCTGGCCGGACCGCTCGCTGGTACACCTTATATAGCCGTGGAACAATACGGGCGCCCACTTTAGAGCCCCGGACACGCCGCGTGTACGTGAAATATTCGCGCGCGCACACGCACGCGTTCCGCTTGATTTTCACATAATACCGGGTGGGGAGAGAGACATTTCTGTTTGGCAACGGTCGATCGACGGCGATCCCGATATCGTGATCGAGAGAAGAAATCGGTAAGAAGCGGATGAAAAGAAGAATGGAATGAGATCCGTTGCGTCAATTTCTCAGCCGAGGGACTCTCGCGATGACTCGGGAGAAGAGAGAGAGAGAGAGAGAGGGTCAGGATCTTGATTTTGCATTTCTTCAGGTTGGAAAGAATGAAAATTTTACTTTTACTTTTATCGCAGTAGCATTGGTCTTGCATTTTCAATAAATTGGTCACGGTTGGTTTGTCGAGGATCTTTTGCCCGTTCGAGTTGAAAATGGAAACTTCGCATTGCGTTAGGGTTGGTCAATTGAAAATTCCTTTTTTTCCTTTTTCTTTTTCTTCGCTATTCTCTGAATCTTTTTTCCACGGCTTCCTCGTACGATCAATAACGAATCGAAAGGGTCCTCAAACTGGTGGCGAGATTCCACGAGATTCCATCACGTATCGCTGCGCCTGAGTTCTTAATAAGCCGCCGAGCAATTACACTTTGCGAAACGTGGAACAATGACGCTCGAACAATCATTTCTAACGAGCGTCCACGGCCTAATTGGGACAAGTTCATTACGACGGAATCATTTTCCACTGATTATTCGTACGCCTGCTGCCAATGAATATGGCGTAAGTCATCGGACGGTGTGCAACTCGATGGATAAATACGAATCATTTCTTCCAGAAGAAACTATAAAACATATTTTCCCCTTCGAATTTCGATAATTCCGCGCTTTTTCTATTTATTCATTCATTCCGTTACCTAATTAATGTTAATTCCTCCGCGCTATTTCCAAAATTAATATTCATACTAACTAACGCGAGTCGAAAGGATCGAAATGCGTCGTAAAAATGAAATTGTCGCAAACGGTGGCAATCGTTCGTTGAGTAATTTTGATACCGAGATTCTGTGTAAACCAGGTATTTCACGCACGATTGCAGACGAAAGAATCCGAGGGACCATGACGAAAAGAATTTCCTTACCAGCGGCACCTGCTTGGGTAATCGATGCCGGTACGCAATCGTGATTAACGCGATGTTAATGATCCAACGTCAATGTCAATAACGCGGTTAAAACGAGAGCAAGAAGGGGATAACTCGAGAACGAGTTCCTAACTTTCGAGCATTGATACTTCATTTTAAAGGGTACGATTTAATTGTTGAAAACTGATCGTTGATTTCGCTGTTGAGATAATTGAACAGTGAAGAATATCGATCTTGTAATCAAGCAAGAAATCATAATAACGCAATTTAGAAAATAACAAAGGGGAACAGATGGCAATTTTGAAAAGTCTTCGAATTCGAAAGTAATTCGACTCCATCTTTGCCGCATCTACATGCTAAGATTAGGCTAAAGTCCAGCTTTGATGAGATCGTTCTATCAGCAGCAGGCATTCCCCACTTAGCAAATTAGGATTATCCTAATAGCCCTATCTAAACCTATCAATCACAGTAATCACAGTATTATTATATTCCATCAATGTGTACAGCGATAGGACGAACCATTGGGACGAGAATCGATGAATCATCAGGGGAAGAAATTATCCCTGTCTTGCAAAGCTCTGTTCAATCGATGAATCGATCAATGTTGAGGAAATCATACTTGTGATAAGTTTCTGATAAAATTTTGATCAATGGATATTACGAGACACTAATTGGACATTATTGCGCGATAAAGGAATGCTAATGAGAATAAGAAATTTTTCATAATCCTTTTCATTAAAGGATTAATACGAGCCAAAATTTCAAAGTCTTTGAAAAAAAAAAAAATGATGAGAAACTAATTTAATAAAATATTAAATATTCCACTATTGACCATCAAATAAACTCCAATAGTTTGTGTTTTAAATTTATTGATTTATCGATCTTTGTAACTGATAATTAATTCGACGATCGAGAGCATTAGCACAAGCGATTGAACAGGAAATTCCTCGTAATATCGAATATTCATAAATCTCCAATTGAAAAAGAATGCTTAGGTATTAAACATTCCAATGTTTAAAAACTGTCCGCTATGTCTTTCTACTTTTTACGCTCGTCAAAAACTTTCTCTCGCCGCTTCAAATTCCTCGACCTGGGTTACATAACGCGACAAAAAGAAAAAAAAGAAAAACATCATCGCCATGCAGGAATAAAATTTCTTACGTCTCAAGGCGCTGGACCATTGATCTATCACCATCCAGCGGATAAAAGAAAGAAAGAGCGTAGATGTGTCTTTTTTTTTTTTATATGAGATCCACTACTGGTAGGCAGAGCAGCGTAAATAACAGAGTGAATGTCGATGGCTCGATACGTGTGCAACACAGGCATTCCCTGTCGACAACCGTCCCTGGCCTCGTCCAGGCAAATGTGTACCGGGTTAGTGACACGCCTAATCGTCCCATAGTCGTTCGAGAATGATCCTGGACGAGGAAGGAGGAAGTCATCAGTTTTTACGCGAATAAGACTTTGATAAATGAATCCTTTCTCCGTTTAATCGGTGACATTTATTCGGTGAAATGATCGTAGTATCACCAATTATCGTATTAGTCTTACTAACTCAGGGTAAGTCGAGGATAATTAGCGTTCGATTTTAATTTGAAAGCACAGCTTCTTCTGTTCTTTATTCTTCTTTCGTTTCGCTTGTCCAACGATTTACTCTCCAGTACGTGTTCCCAGTCGCTTTGGTCGCCGCCGGTTCAAATGATAAACGGCACAAAAGTTGCCGCGGTATTTGCATAACGTGTATTGCTATTATGTTTACGTTCCTTCCCGTTCCTGTCGGCTGAAACGAGCACCATCGGGCGCAAAGTGCCAATTAATGGCACCGCGAGGATGCGATGGCGTCGTTTAGCGAGACCATCGACCATCGTGGTTAACGCGGTTGAAAACACAATAACCTGCCGCGTGACAAGATTCCCCTGATATCTCGTGGAAAGAGCTTTCGTTCAACCTATCGAGCGTTGGTCTGACTTGCTTACTGCCACACCCACGTAACACGCCGCGATTCCCTTCGCATTTTTTCCAACGCACGCAACGTCTTCCCTTTCGCGGAGAATAGTAGCGTACAGTGAAAACATTCAGAAATATCTGCTGGGCGTTAATCGAGGTATTTTATTGTGTGAGAATAGTGCTGGTGAATATTTGGAACATTCAAGTTTTGAGATTTTGTCTTGATCTTATTTACGTAGATGGAGAACAGTGGTGTTTGCTGGATTTGTCAATTACCTGGAATATTAGTTTGTAAAATTTCGTATCGTCTCTTCGTAACTTGTAATTTTTTGTAATTTCTTTGTAATCTGAAGTCCTGTTCTTCGTGGAGGAAATAATCAATTTTCATTATGGGATTTGGAATTTTCTATAAAAACATCACGCAAAGAAAAATAAATTTTAAAAAATTCGTGCAATACAAACGATTTATTTAAAAAAAAAAAAATCTAAATTTCGCCTGTTTGAAACAGTCTCGAAATGAAAATGTTACAAAGAGAGGCAGATAATTGAAATTATTCAGTTTCGTAATTTCGTAACGATTGATAACTCAAAATATCAGAAAAATTCGATCAGAAAAACCTATTATACATGCGTGATCGTGGGCGTACGAGCGTAACCGTACGCGGAGAAAAATCTCCGTTATGCAAAGCGGAATTGTTTGACGAAGAATTTCACGCGAATAGCGCAATCGCCGCTATTATTTTTGCTTGTTCCTCGCGAGCAAGTTTATATAATTCTGGGCCAGTTCATGTAAAAACATTCACACGTTAACACGACTCTTAGACATTTCACTTCGAACGGAATTTAAAAATTAAATTCAACTAAATTTAATTGATCTCTTCTCGCTTATATATCAATGAATCAATAAATCTCGTCGATAACTGACGTGTCACAATTTCTTGCAAATTTGCAATAACTCCGTCGAACCGAGAATCGTTCGAAAAGACGCAGCAATAAAAGCGGATCAGAATCCTACGTTCCTCTTATTTTATTGGCAAAGAAACGTAAGAAACGTTTCATTTCAATCACGTACGATTGGTCGCTGGCAAGGATGCTGGCCGACCTTCGCATTAATTGACGTATTAACTTCCTCTCCTACTTCTCTCTCTCTCTTTCTCTCTCTCTTTCTGTTTTTATCCCTTCTTCACATTTAACTGCATTTCGTCCCTGTTCTTTCCCTGAATCCACATCCCAGAGTGCGTCGAGGCCGTACTCTCGATTCTCGAAATAATTGATTATACCGACTCTCGAGTTATCTTCCATGACTTATATACTATACTTTCTCTATCGGCTAAATGACATCAGTCGGTTCGTACTATCGTTATTTCGACGGAATATGAATTTCATGGGAACGTGTCTCACGTGTCGCGTAATCCACGAGCGACGTGAAAGTTACGATTTCGGCTGAGAGAAACGTGGAGAATTTCAGGGAAAAGAATTTCAAAGAATTGAATTTACAGACAATATTTCACGAACGAGTACTATTCTCCAATGTATTCGTATAGAACTATCAAGTACATTGAATAATTTTTGTCGTTTGTTTAAATAACGATTTGGATTTACTGCGAAATATTATAAAACGTCAATCGATTTTTCTTTTTTAGTACTAGCACCAAATTATTCTTATGCGCCCCTTAAACCAACTGATTTTACAATTTTATTAATAGCGCCGGATTTGTGTATTCGACGGTTAATACAGATTAAAAGAATTTTCATTAAAAATCTCAGTGAATTTGTCAATTCATGGCTTGAATCGAGCAATTGATAAAAAACCAATTAAACAGCAGCGAAAACAAAAAAAAAAAAAAAACGTAAAATTACGAACAAATCGTGGCGTAAAATCATGCCTTCGTTATATAAAAATAAGAACGTATAATTATAGATAAGTAGAAGTAGATGATCTTGCGTAAACACTAGAGAATATTTGATAAATAGAATTTTCAAGCTTCGGTTTTCTAATTTTGAAATAATTTCAAAAAATAACACAAAATGAAATATACAACTAATTGAAACGAAATTTAATTCGTGAAATTGGGAAATACGTTCCCGGTTAATTCGAAATAAAAAGACGATAAATAAAAAGATGAACAAAGACTGAGTATAAGAATTGGCAAGAATATTCGCAGTGCAGAAAGATATCACTGTTCGCCGGATACGTGAATCTCTTAGGGCCCACGAATGTAGTATAATTTACGCGAGAAAAGAATGGTTGGCAATTTTGGTCGAACTGCAAGGAGGAGGCTCACCTGTTACACCTGACCTCGAGAAAGATCCTTTTGAAAGACGAGCAGATCAGAGATTAATGTCAATGTCACCACTTGTTTCCCAGGGTGTGGTCCCCTCCTACGGGTCGACGACTCCCTACCAGATTCACCTATATAAAAGGGGGCACCGTGGCTGGACAGGGCAGCACATCACCGTCGGTACTTTAGGGCGAATACTGGTTGGAAAATTCACGTTCATACCGGCCAGCAGCGCATTTCCCACCCACGTGATTAACCATGAAAACTATAGTGAGTATCTGTGAGTGGCTAGGGATTCTGTTTGTTTGTGATTGGGGGGGAAAAAATGTGCTTGAGGGGGTGGTTTATAATTTTATAATTCGACGATGTTTCGCTTGCCACTCTTATTCTCATTATATTTACATCGCCGAATACGATATTTTACTTTGCTAATTACTTTCCATGAATTCGTATTGGAAAATTCTATTTTCAGAATCAATGAAGTGAAATGTTGAAAAGTGAGTGAATCAAGTGAGTTGGGTCAACTCTATGGAAAATAAAATGAAAATTGGGAAATTTTGCTTGAAGTATGGAAAGTTTTGTTTGTTAAAATAATAAATTGAGTATTTTATTTTGAAGTGTTTCGCTTACGATTCGCCAAGTAGAAAAATTAAATTACTACAAAATTAGAAAAAAATACGCATATTAATTATCCTTCGAAATCTCGAAAGGAAATCAAGAGAGAAGAATCTGCAATCGTTACTTATTAATATCTAACCGAGTTTTCCGAGGTTCCCTCGTCATTGACACGCTAACATCCCACATTTCTTGCAGAAACTTTTTCACACGAATGATTCCACCTCTTCGTTCATCAGAGCTATCATGAAAAAAAATTTTTCTTTCTACGTTTCATCACACTTTGCCCCTGATCTAATTATTTTTACTGCATTTAAATTCTTCGGTCACTAATGATCTCGAAAGTTACGTAAACTCTGCCTCCAATCGTATTCCTTTTATTTTCCAATTTAATTGATTTCATTTACACTTTACACTCTTGGAAGTCGTCTGCTGCTCTACTCTTTGCTAATTTCAAGTCAATTTTCAATTCAAGAAATCTTCATTGCTCCAACCACGATTCTACCAAATACATATTATAAAATTTGTGAAATCATCATTTCAACAAATCTTTCTTAAACTAAGATCATTGCCTGCTTCTGTTAATTTGTTAATTTTCATTAATCATAAAAGATTCTAGATAAGGGATTAATTAACAAAATAACGAACGTACCAATTATACAAATGCAAATTACAGATCATCTTGGCTACAATCTGCGGCTTGACAATCGCCGAGCCAGGATACTTGGCCTCAGTGCTGCCTTATGGTTATCTCCGAGTGCCGTTGATCTACGACGGCAAAGTTTTCGACACACCGGAAGTGGCACAGGCGAAAGCTGCGCATCTTGCCACTCAGGCGTACGAGGCAGCCAGGAACACGATTGGTGTCGCTCATGTGCCAGCCGTGTTTCGTGTTTACACACCTGCATCTGGTGCACCGATAGGTGCCGATGGTCGCGTCGTCGATACACCGGAAGTTGCACAGGCAAAAGCTGCACATCTGACCGCCCACGCGCTGGTAATTAACAGCAATCAGTGACTCGAAACATCTCGGCATTAAGAGTGAGGAAAGTTTGGGGGAAATTCGAGGATTCGTTTTGGAAACACAGGGATTTCCAACGAGCAAGTGAAGGATAATTTTTGGAATTTTAAGACGCGTAAACAATCAGATGTGGTTGAAGAATAGAAATAAGTTCTTCTGCTTCTTCTTCTTCTTCTTGGGAACATTTTATTTCTACAAACGAATTTTCGAATTTTCGTTTAAATTTCTGCATTGTTTCTTGAAAAAATATTGTTTTCCTCCATCAGTACGCCGAATTGCTCTTCTCATTTTAGATCAGAGAATGTATTTATCAATATCTTTTATGTTGAAGGAGGCTGCAAAGCATGTAGGACTCGAACCGTACGGTGCTCTAGCCTATGCCTCAGTACCTTACACTTATGGATTTGGATACGGTGCTCCCCTTGGTTCTGATGGCAGAGTAGTAGACACTCCGGAAGTTGTACAAGCGAAAGCAGCTCATTTTGCAGCGCATGCTGAAGCAGCCGCAAGAACTGCTGAAAAATCTGATTACCAGTGAAAAGGGAATAACCGTACAAGCCTAAAATAAGTTTTTGTCAATTTATTCTTGGTCCATTGAAATATGAGGACAAACGAGTACTCGTGAGAAACAACTTGCATGTTTCTTTTGTCTCTTGTCACTAATCCAATTGAAATTGAATGTTACAAGGTAGTAAAAATACCGTGCCATTTTTATATGAAGTGATTTGAATAATAAATAACTTTCTCTTCCATCAATCATTGCTTCTTTTTATCCATGATTATCTATCTTTTAAGTACGAAGAACATCGTGTGAATTTTTTAATTGATCAATTAAATTCCTAGAATGTAACTGTTCTTAACTGAGTTTCCCTAACTCAAGAGACTTGCGTGCCATTTTTATCGCCCCTTCTTTGGTTTTATGTCCACCGATGAATCGAACTGAATGCACGAAAACAGCACCCTTGATTCCACAGGCGTTTTCAAGCGCTTCATCCCGTAAACCTGCCCAAGATTCTGGCAAGAACTGCCTAGAAAATCAGAAGACCATCCTTTAACAGAGTAATTCTAAAAATAATTCAGTTGCATAATTCTGCGTAAATACCTGCATACAAAACTTCCAACATTTACAGGTATACATCGAACCCTGAAATTGTCATCCTCAAAAATGACATACTTTAATGGAGGCTGTATATTCTGTTCTTTTTCTACTTCGAAAAGATGCTGAGACCATGGTAGACCTTGCGATAATACTACAATCTCCCCGCTGGGATCCACCTGCAAATATTCGTCACAACTTTTTCTCGAGTATTCTTTAGCAGATAAAGCTTTCTTACATACGAAAGAGAAAGAAATCTGCTCATACATAATATTGCACCAAGGAAATGCTTGTGATACATTTTTATACAACAGACAATAGCCATGTATTCTAATGCTTCGAAACTCTATTCAAACTCTATGTTATTCTATTCAAATCTATGTAAATGTTGCTTGAATGATTGACAACAAAGATACAATGTCCATGGCAGTGTCACCATTAATTGCAAAGGTGGCATCTTGTTTTATTCACCTCGAATCGTTTCTCAATAGCTTCTTGAACAATAGACCTGGCTGGTAACCAAACGTTTGCTGCATAATTTACATGCTGTACAAATTCTTGACCAGTTAACTCAACTGCTTTTAAAAACTGTTTGTCAGGATCAACATTCTTGCTGTTCCACACAGGGTTCAAGTATGAAACCCGAGAAGACAAATGTGTCACAATACGATATCTAAAATGAATTTTACACATTGTAAAGATTGGATGTGATGTCTGAATTAAATAACAGTAACATTGAACACTTACAGAGGCTCCTCACTGAACATAGGTACTCCATTATCTATACCATCAATCTCTTGAATAAACGTTTTATAAATATATTTGAAAATGATCTCTACGTCGCTATCACTTGCTTCTGGGTGCAACAGCTTGATAATTTCATGGCCAAAATGGCAATAAATCAAACCAGCGCTACTCAGTCTCATTGTCCATTCGTAGCCTGGCTTCTTTATTATCGTGCTCACTGATTCATTGAAATCCCTGTTTCAGAAATGAAAAGCAAATGTGTGCTAATCCTATTGGCTGCCTAACGATGCCACTTGAAAACTAACATTACCTCATATGATGATCGTAACGATGCTTGGAAGGATCATACTTTTTACCAACGTCAACCATAATGTCGCATGTATTTAGAATATCCATATCGCGTGATCTACAATTGCATTCAACATTCTAACCTCTTGTCGCTCCCAATGAAAATTTAACCATGCTACGCAACGTATCTTACCTTACTATAACCGCATCTTTATATCTAGGTAGCGATTTCAACAGGAAACAAGCAAGCGCTTCGTCACAATGAAAGCAACCATCGTGCGTTCCAATTTTGATGTTTTCTGTCATCGTTGCGAATGTCCGCGACTTTGCTCGCGTATAGGTTAGGTTGCCTGGCGGAAGAAATACCTTCGTAAAATGTCGTAGAATTATACCATATGTTCCCTTAATCATACCGAAGCACTAAACTCGTCAATAATAGAATGATATTCTCACCATAACGTGAAAAATGCTTACGATACGCAATAAAACTTCCTTTCTTTGATTCGATTCGAAACGTGCACAGCTGACTGAACAATTATAGCGGGAAAAAGCTCAATGGTTACGCTCGACCAATCAGAAGCTACGCACGCTACGCATATATACGTGTTTACTCTCGCGTGGGCATTTAATAACGCTAATGAATGATTTATATTAAATCGTAATTAGTGTTTATAGTATAATTATTTAGTATAGATTTATTAGAATTTATTTCATGTATTTGCACTATTTATTTATTAGATTATTTTTTAGAAAAATAAAGTTTTATAGTAAAATTATTTAGTGTTTATAGTATAATTATTTAGTATAGATTTATTAGAATTTCATGTATTTGCACTATTTATTTATTAGATTATTTTTGGAAAAATTGCATATCATATTAAACAAATATTAATAGATTATAATATTATCATTCGTGTATTTATTACAATAGAAATAAGCTCTCGCACGCATTGTTAAATGTATCTTAATGGGATCAAAAATGTTGGAGAGAAACGTTTATTAATGAGAAATAAGTAGAATTTAATTTCTCACGTGTTTTATTATTTTTGACTACAACAACATTGCGGTACCGTGGCTTGAAAAATGAATATATTTACAATCGTTAAAATTACCTATACGAAATTATACATTTCAACGAATTTAATTATTCCGAGCTTCTCCTTCATCGGACGATCGAAATATTTAAGAACAAAGATTAGTGCTGAATATTTATCGAAAAGTCTCTAGGAGGAGAGACTTTCGTATTAAGAATAATCCTTCGATACGAAAAATATCAAAGAGAGAAGGGAAAAATTAATTAAGACGTTCTAAATCGATAAAAATAAATAAAGGGAAGTGAGATAATCGTGCAGATGGACGAGAAAGAGATTGCACGTAGTATACAATTATTATTAATACAGTACAGGGCTGCATACATCGACAACGTGTTATTCTACAAAGGGACATATGATATTTACAGAGACCTTTAAATATACACGTTTCGAAAACCTTCTACACACTTATCGATCACGATTAACCTATCTAAGAAAAAAAAAAAAAAAAAAAGAAATTGCTAAAACTGCAGCTGGATAAGTTTACATGTAAAAATAGATATATTTATAATATATGTATATATGGATTCTATTTATACATTTATTTGCAGACTGCGAATATTTACGAGAATTTATAGCTATTTTATGAACTGAAAGAATAGTTTGTACACTTATAGAATTTTTTACTAAAAGAACATTCGTAGAACATTCTGAAGTTCAAATACAAGAATAATTTTTTTAACTTAAATCAATTTTCTTTTAGGTAAATTTTAAAATGAAGTTCCTCTCTTTAAATTTCGCATAAAAATGCATAAAAATCCGCAGTCCGTGCATTAGTATCGATAGGAATTCCGATTAAAGTGGCTAAAAAGGAGGAAAATCTAAGGATTTCTACAAATTTAGATAAATTTGTAAAGACGAAATAATTTCTAAGAAATTATCGCATCGATGTAGCGATTCGAGTATTTTTCAAGATTCTTTTCTTTAATTATTACTGTACATCCTCGTTAAGCTACTCATGCAATTGCATCTAGCCAGCTGATACGAATATTCGTTCGTAATTTGTTGAGCAATGCGCGATAGAATTATTGCTGTATCGCTAGAGAGAATATTCCATCGACGATTGTATCGATGCAAAGTAGGAACAGACATAATACGCTCTTTTGACTAAAGGAAGTCGACAGGGGCCTTGACTATCGAGTTTTATAAATTGTCACGAGTGGGAATCTCAGCCTAGAAAATATACTCGCGCATTTTTCTGTTGGCCAATGACAGTGCAAATTATGATTGTTTATATTATTTCGATATTTGGACACTACAGTGTTGTTAATTTTTGTATCTTTTTACAAGGGTTGCTTCATATTAAATTATTTTTTAATGATCGAGTGAAATACAAAAATAAAAAATTGCAACAAAGATTACTTAATTCTAAAAAGTTTAGATTTTAATTTTCTATGAAAAATAGATTAATAAATTATTTGTCAATGTTAGTATGGATATAGAAGAGTACTAATTTTCAGAAATTTTAAATCTTTTTTAAATCTTTATAGAAAAGAAGTTATTAAAAAATGAAAGGACACTGCAATATCCAAGTATCGACAGAGCAATTCTACTTCATCGACTTTCAATAACTACACTTCTTTATCGATCAACTTAACCGACCTGTTTTATCGATTTTCAGTTTTGCTGTTCTGCTTCATTGATCAAATAATCTACTATATCAACAAGGCTATAATCAATGATCGAATCAATGGATCATTCAAGGCTGCGTCAATCCCTTTCGCATTTTAAAGATGGAAAACCCAATTACATTACTATTTTCTGTGTTAAATTTGTGAAGAATTTTACAAAATAGATGCTGCACTGTCATTTCAACGATCTCTTAAAATCCATCTTTCCTGCGAGCTGCTTGTTCGAACAATCTCGAGCATATTAATTTTAATAAGTGTGAATCCATTGTCGTCATGTACAGGGGTTATGGCAAATGTTGAGGGGGGGAAAGGCGTATTGTCCTCTTGCGGGGATATGCCTCTTATTAACAATATACATAAATATACACTAAGGGAAGGGATTCAACAATTACCAAAATCAATGTTGCCAGCAGCCACGAAGACAGAACGAACCCGATTCCCCTTAAGATCCTGACTCATCTCTTTACCACTCCCTTTTCAGACAACTTTTACTCCTAGCATCGTGACGACAGCTCTGGCTCTCCTCGTCAAACGCGGTGCCTTCCTCGCAGACGAACCGAAAATCAAGCACCTGCCTCGAAGTGAACCCAGGAGAGCAATAGTGAAACAATCTACAGTCTCTGGTGTCACCGTAAAAACGATACATCTTCTTCTCCAAGCAATTGAAACTGCCCTGTCTCTTCAGCATCGCCAGATTTCGGCTCGAGGACCTCATCGTAGTCGATTCCACCTCTTCAGCTCGTCTAGTTGTGGCTTCTGAAGTGGACGTCGCCTCGGAAATTGACGAACTTACAGCATCATCTGTCACCTGATCTCCCAAGACCTGGTCCATGACTTTGGTAGACGAAGCAATCGATGTTCCTTCCTCTGTGGTGGATCTAACAGTAGTGGAGGATGATTCCTCGAGATCAGGCTCAGTAGACGTCAGACCCAGCGGTAAGGATGTCGTTGTACTGACAATTTCTAAGTCCACTAAAGTGAAACTCTTAGGACTAGTTGGTTTTTCAGACTCTGTGCTGGGAAAATCGACTTCCTTCGTCGATTTCTCAACAGCAGAGGCAAGGATCGACAGTCTGGAAACAGGATAGGGCGTGAAACCTTCTTGTTCGTTCTGTTTTACATTCGACGGAGACTTCTGTTCACTTGGACTGGGATCCTGGTCGTCTTTGCTCTTCACAGGAGCTTGGATCTTTTCCTCCGACTCGTTCAGGGGCTTCAGTTTGTTCTCTGATATGTTCTCTTCGCTTCTGCTAGCCTCGGTGGTAGTCGTCAATGCTTCTGTGGTCATTGCCTCCACAGTTTCCGTCGAATCTTCCTCCGTAATCGTCGTGATAGCCATAGTGGTAGTTGGCTTTCGAGCTAATAACGTGAACTTCCTGATCACTGGTTTGGGTGCCAGGTCGTTGTACGACTTAGGTGGCTTGGCTGGCTTGGGATTTAACAAACTTAATCTGGGTTTGATGATCACAGGGTTCGGAGTCGTCGTTGGAGGAATGTAATTGTAATTCTTCCGAGCTGAGATTGGTTTGAACAGTTTTGGAGGCGTGAAACGAACCGTTGTCGTAGTAATTGTTGTCGTAGTTTCATCGGTCGTTGTCGTCTCTGCTAAATCTGTTTTCTCTATATCGAATTCTGTTGGACTGTCGGTCCTCTCATTCTGATCCTCCTGAGACTCCGTGGCTTCTGGCTTGTTTTCTTTAATTTCTTTCTTCTTATCCTCTGTCTTATCGTCAGCTAACATCTCTTTGTTAGTTTTCTCCTCGTTCAGGTTGTTAGAGTCTGAAGGCTCGCGTTCTTTGTAGTTGTCAGGCTCGTAATTATCATCCACATAATCGTGGGCTATATTTTCGATGGATTCCGAGGATCTTCTGACCTCCAACACGTCCTCCTTTTTATCTTTCGGCAATTCGTCGGTGAATTTGAGAATTCCTTCGGTACTTTCTTCTTGGTCGCTCAAAACTGACTCGTCCTCTCCGTGTTCTTCGACAGTATCTTCTTCGGAGCTTGGAGTTTCCTCAGATGTTAGGTGTTCCGAAGAAACAGTGGCGTTTTCGGAGCTTCCAGAATCTTCGTAGTCACTGTCTGCATCCATTTCGTACGTACTTTCGTAGAATGCTTCGGTAGACTCGCGGTATTCCGTGGAAATTTCCTCAGAGTTTATCTCTTCGCTCTTCGTCGTGGGATATTCCTCTTCCCCGTCTTTTTTCTTGATTTTGTTCTGTTCGTGAGAAGACACTTCCTTCGAAGGATCCTCAGCCTCTTCACTCTCTTCCTTCTGAGAATTTTCAATCGTTTCATCGTTGTCTTCCTGAGAATCTTCATTACTGAGGACTGTTGTTGATTCAGCTTCCACAATATCGTGCTCCACCTCGGATTCTCCTCCGTGATAAGTCTTCTCTGCTTCAGAAAGATTCTTCTTGGAAACATCGAACTTCTCCTCAACTTTCTCCTCGTCCTTCCCCAGAGATTTAGATTGTTTCTGCAAAGCCTCATATTCGTTAGCCTCGCCCTTTCGATTCTCCTTCCCTGAATCGTGCTCCTTGCCAAACTGAAGATCCTTCACGTAGCTATCGCGAGTGTTCACAGCTCTGGTATCGATCTCCTTCGAGGTTTGTGACTCTGGTTCGTTGAATATGCGCTTGTCAATCTGCTCGGAGTCAGAATTCGCTGCTGTTCCTACCTTTTGATCCAGGGCGGGTTCGTTATCTCCAACTTTCATCTCTTTTTTCCTCGCAGGGATCTTCGCTCTGGAACTCCTGATCCTGGAACTCTTTCTTCTCGTAGCTGGCTTCCGTTCTTTAGGCTCTTTCTCCTTCCCTCTTTC